CCCAATGGGTCCCGGAACCGGGTCGGGTAGGCCTATCCAATATGAAGTTAACAATATTGCAAATTTTCTAAAAATAGACCTATATCTGAACTGATTCATATAGGGAGATAAAAAGAGTATATAGGGTTTGAAAAGATATAAATAAAATTAAGAGTTTGAGATATAATAAGTACATAGTTTTAATAAAAAAAAGTGCATTAGCAAAATTAGTTACATATCTCATTAAAAATGAATAAAAATGAATTAGTTTTAAGAAAAATAAACATTTGTTTTTTCGAATAAAAAGATGTGGTATGTGTATAAAGTTGTCACTAGATGTGTGGTTGTGTGTGGGTGTGTGTGTATATATCATCATCATCATTACCCCAGTGCCGCAAAGGCTCCCACCCGCGGTGAGATAAGAGGGGTCGGATGTACGCAGTCTTACCCCTCTACTAAAACACAGAGAGACTGTCTCCGAATGATCCATAGTCAAAATCGCATCGAAAATTGCATAGACTGACTGTTACTTCATAACAAAGAAGCACAAACATGAGCAATTTTTCTTTATTCCATCATATTCCCAAGCCAAAAAATAGTGAGTCTGGCTCCATTGAAAATGATGGAAAATGTATGTCTATATATGAATTGTAGAATTATGGGAATTTCTAAAGGGTATGGGCCCTTATCGGATTGGAATCACATGTACCATACCCTATCCATCTATAATAAAAAATTATGGGCCCGGGTAAATGGAATAAAGTGTAGATCCATACTCATTATAAAAAACGAGCCCGGGTCAAAACCCGGCCCGTTGACAGACACACACTAGTTGTGTGTTAGTGTGTGTGTGTAACACGGAATTGTAGGATTGGGAATTTCTAACGGGCATGAGTCCGTAACGGGCTGGAATCACATGTACCATACCCTCATCTAGCCCAAGAAGAAGCTTATCACTCTTAACTCTAATCCACATTTGTTTGGGTCTTTCTCTCCTCCTCGCCTCTTTTCCACACCTCTCAACTCGTCTAACATGTATCTTTATGCACATGAACAAACCAATGCAATCGGGACTCTCGCATCTTATCTTCAATAGGTGTTACTCCCACATTTTGTCTGATTATCTCTTTCCTCAAACAGTATTTTCGAGTGTGTCCACACATCCAACGCAGTATGCACATCTCTGCCACACTCATCTTTTGAATGTGACATTGTTTTATCGCCCAAAAATCTATGCCAAACAAGTACCGCGGCACATCATGGTGACATTGCTCTTTCTTAAACTTCTCTTTCATAACCTTCATTTAACAGACATTCTTTAGGAACCAAAATAAAAATCCCACTGGCTTAATTAAAAACAATCTCGCTATAAAATAGACAACACACACATGTGACTATGAGTACAATAACGAAAACACATGAAAAGGAAAAGAAAAAAACTGGCAAATGTTGAGGACATGGTTCAGCTGTTTGATAAAGCAGTGTGTTGGAATTTCTAAGTTCATCATTTGTTCTTTTTTCTTTCTGCACTACATGTGCCCAGTTACTACTTGTAGATCCTTTATTCCTGTGTGGTCTCTATAAGTCTATAAGCATTATCTTGGTTGCAGGAGTGGCCTTCCTGATTTTGATGGCATTGAAGAAAAGATGTTGAATGCACTGGATAAGGTGGAGAAAGAAATAAAAAAGCCGCTAATGAGAAATGACAAAAAAGGGATAGCACTCCTTACCGCAGAGTTTGACAAGATCAACCAAACGTGAGCTCCATTTATAACAAGACAATATATCTTTGCTTCCAAACTACTAAGTTCTGACTGTCCAATCTGTGGAAATTTTACTTGCCGATGCCCTCATTTGATGGGACTTCACTGACTTCTCTTTGAATAGTTATTTTGATTATCTTGTCTTGGTTGGTATGTAGTTGAGATGTACCATTTCTGATTTGTTTGTTCTTGCCACAATCATTTAGACTTGGCATACGCAGAGAAGATCTGCCCAAACATGAAGAAGAATTGGAAATTAAGATTGCCACAGCTCAACTCCAAGAGTTGAAGAAGGATGCCCTTGAGGCAATGGAAACTCAGAAGAAGAGGTAATTTGGTCTTCATCCCAATTTTATGTTTTTTCCTGTACAACCGAGATGCGCTTCCATAATCATTCTTGGTATTTAGTCCTTCACCTCCTATTCAATGTTTTCATACACTTGGGCACTCGTAGCTGTGTCTGTGAGTTTCCATCCATAAGCCCATATGCAATATGCCTTTATTTCCTTAGAATGACACTTTTATTCGCAGGGAGGAGTTCAATGATGAAGAAATTCCTGACGTGAAGTCTTTGGACATTAGGAACTTTCTCTAAAAAGAGCATTTAGTTGAAGACAGGATTTTTTGTGCATTTCTTTCATGTTGGCATAATGAGCTCATAAGTGATCTGTGCTGAGCTATTATAAAAATAAAATTATTGGCCAAGTAGTTGGACACTTTGTGCATTAACACCACAAGAGATTTACCATTGCTTTCAGTGGGTTTGTAATCACAAATTCACAATGTGATATTTCATTTGAAGCTAGGGGATGATGACAATGTCGTACTGTTGATATTTTAATCTTGCCCCGTAATGAATTAGTTTCTGCACAAAACACATTCTTAAGTTTGCATAATCACCATTGTGTGATTTGAGACTTGAGAGCAGCACAATGGTTCTAAATATGGGTTGACCTATTTCACGTTGGTTCAAAAGTAATTGGTGCCTGTAAATTCAGTAATTGCCTAATTGGTATCCGCTCCTGCATTATGTTTTTTACCTTTTTTTCAAGTAAAAAATTGGAGCCGCTCTGGCCATATTTTGGATTAATGGAATTGATTTGGACTGGTTATATGTGCCTATTTCAGTTTGAACGGATAAAACTTGCAACTGACCAGTCTGACCTGGTCTTTACTGGACTGAGTTTTTTCCCAAACAAGAGTAATTTTCAATCTTATTTCCCAAAACGGGATAGTTTTAAACTTATTTTCCAAATAAGGGTACTTTTGCCTCGTCATCCGTCATGTCATCACAATTGTCAGCAAGATGGCCAGTCACATATTCCACGTCATCCATTGTCCCTCTCCCATATCATCATCTAATATTAGGGGTGGACCGGTTCCGGTTAGGGCCTGGTTCGGGCCTGGGCCCGGTCGGGCCTCGATTCAGAAATGGGAGGCCCGGAACCGGCCCGGGTAATCCCGGTTCCGGTTCGGGCCGGGCCGGGCCTCAGTCCTATTTTTTTTTTTTTGGCTTTTCCTAATTAACCCCCAACCCTCCCCCTCAACCCCAAACCACCCCAAACCATCTCAAATGGCCCAAAATACCAAGCCCAACCCAAAAACTTAAAAAAAATTCAAAAAAAGAAAAAATAATAATTTGGCCCGAACCGGGCCCGAACCGGCCGGGCCGGTTCGCCAATCACAGGGCCCGGGCCCGAACCGCACAGTAACCGGGCCGACCCGAACGGCCCCCCGGACCGGTTCCCGGGCCTGGCCGGTTCGAACAGTAACCGGGCCGGGCCGCCCGGCCCGAGTCCATCCCTATCTAATATATGTGTGCTAAAAATGTTAGCAAAAATGAGGGTGGAGGGAATTGAACCCGTGAACTAAATTACACAACATAAGTCCCAAACCGGTAGACTAACTCATTCGTCTGTTACATATTCTCCCTTAGAACTATTTTTACTATACATATGTTAAGTTCTGAAAAGCACAAACTTAACTCATGTATTACTCTTTTTTTTGAAAAATACATTACTTCTTCCTCAAATAGTTGAACCATAATAATTTCAGATAATCAATTAAAAATAAATACATAATTATAATATACTAAAACTTAATTTTGGATGTGAAATTAAAAAATTAAAAATAATTCAACACTAAATAACATAAATGTAAATAAGTGTCATGTTATGACCAAGCTCACACCAATTTTAAAAACAAAACTTATATTATTAATGTAAATAAAGTGGCAAAAATTATGTATTTATTTATATACTTACTTTTTATATATGTATTTATTCATATATCTATTCAGGGGTGATTTGAGTTTGCACCTCATATTATTGTCTAAATTGGAATTTACACCCCATTTTTAAAAATCTTTGTTTTTGCACCCAATCTCAAATGAAAAGACGAAAATGTCCCTCCATTTTTTGCTTTTTATTCTTAATCGCCCTATGAGAGCCGTCACCTTTGCCAATCTGAATCCTTCTGGAGAAGCCGCTCAAATCTGTCGATCCGCTAGGACATGCTCTATGGACATGCTTGAAAGTTTGATTTGTTTTTTGTTATTTTTACTTTTTACAAACAAATTAGATGAGCCGCTATTTTATGATGCCAATTGCACTCATCATGATCATTAAAAGTTATATAGGTCCATAACATATTGGATCTTACATTCTTACTGAGTTCCATTTAAGCTCATCAACCTCATTCAGCAACTCCTTAATTATGTGAAGTAAATAATGCATAGAATGGTCGGAAAATGGAAAGATTGGAGTAGGGCTGGACTCGGGCCGGTTCGGGCCCGGTTCGGGCCTGGGCCCGGCCGGGCCTCGGGCCAGGAAAGGGGAGGCCCGAGCCCGAACCGCCGGTGGCCGGTTCCGGGCCAAACCGGGCCGGGCCGAACCGGCCCAATTAATTTTTTTTTGTTCTTCTATTTAATCCCCTACCCCTCCCCCTCAACCCCAAACCATCCCAAACCACCTCAAATGGCCCAAAATACCTAATCCAACCTAAAACTTAAAAAAATTTCCAAAAAAATAAATAAATTAAAATCCGGCCCGGACCAGGCCCGAACCGGGCGGGCCGGTTCACCAAAACCTGGGCCCGAGCCCGGACCGCCCAGCACCCGGGCCGGGCCAAACCGAACCGGTGGACCCACCGGGCCACGGGCCGGGCCAAACAGTGACCGGGTCGGTTCGGTCCCGGGTCGGGCCGCCCGGCCCGAGTCCAGCCCTAGATTGGAGGCATTAATGTAACACTAGGGACAGAATGGCAGATTGAGGTAGCACTTCACTGAACAACATAGTGGTTCCGTTGACCTGGCCAAGGCTCAAACCAAACAAGCAGAACTTTAACAGAGAGGTCTGCTGTATGGTTGAGAAAGGTGAAACAGAAAGGTCACCTTGCTCCTGCAGCATGCTAAAGAAACACTCTGTACCAGTACACTATGGAAGCATTCTATGACAGTATGACATCATGTTCTAGGTAAAAAGAACAAATTAATCCTCTGAAGGAGAATCAAAATCCACCAAAATCTGACCCAAAAGTGGACCCATTTGACTATTTACAGCAAAACTAAATCACTAGAAAGTGGTACGCATTCTCCCACTTCCAGAATCCAATTTACCGGCATCATCAATCATCATCTATTGTCAAGTACTCACTCCACTTGGAAATGGCTCCCTTCGCTGCTGTGGCCAGACTCTCCTTGTTAGGCTCTTCGTTTACAAAATACATGTTTGATTTGGCAACCTTTTTTGTAGAGCAACAAGACGGAGTATCTTGAGACTCTAGTGTGCCATCTTCCCATTCAAGAGCACTCTTTGACATTGGTCCTACATCTGCAGAGTTAACATTATCAACTGATGCTTATCAATTACATTTTCCTTTCATTTTCAGTTAGTGCTACCTTCATCCTGCAATGTGCTGTGTTTTTTTGCATTCCTTTTTGAAAAGACTGGCCGGAAACGCTTCTCGCTGTCAGATTGTGATCCTGCAGTGTAATTGCTGAACTTGGGCCTTTTGAACATTGCCTTTGGAAGCTCCGTCACTATCCTTGTCTCATTTTCCTCCTCTGTGCATCAAATGACAACAGTGAAGCACATTAATCAAACGCCTTATTATTTGATCAATTGATCCCATATTCACTTTGAACATCAGAACCAAACAACAAGCTACTCTCATGAATTTCATAAAATTTATAGAACTTCCTACTAATGGACCAATTGGTCTAAAGCTTATGATTCAATGGAAGATCTCTCGAAGTTCAACCTTCATTTCTCTCAATTGCATTTAAAATAAGCTGGGCTCATAAACTGTCACTTTTTTTATACTATCTCAGTCACACTAAGACCGGAACATGAGCAAGTGACGTAATCTAAAGAAGGCGGAGTTATTATATAGATGGTATTGAACTTGTAAGCATATAATATAATAGTGAATAAATCAGAGCCACACACATATTAATATGATGATGCAAAGTTAGTAGGACGGGTAAAAATGGACAACAGTGGGTCCAAGTGAAGTACATAATAAATTTAACTGCATAGCATAATCCTCATCATCATCATCATAAATTCCTACCAATCGATGAATTGAATTCAAATCAGTAACGGAGTTCATAAATCTGTGAAATAATGACCTGTTGATTCGTCCTCCAAATCCAGGTACTCGGTCCAATCGGTTCTCTTGCTGTTGGGGTTGCTAGGGAAGGGGGCTTCTGTGTCTAGGGTTCGCGGCTCTTGGTGTTGAGGGAGATCGGAGAGCTGGCGGGACATGTTGAAACTCTGGACGAACTTCCGAATATCCTTTGCCATGAACCCCTGAGCGAACACTTTGCGTAGGGACTGCTTCTGGTTGCACACCACGCAGATCCACTTGTTGCTGCTCTTCTTCTTCTGCTTCACCTGAGAGAGAGAGAGAGAGATCCAATCCTTCAATCGCTTGTGTGTGAAAACAGACATGAATGGAATATTACCTGCATGGTGCAGCATTGGCAGCATTGTAGAGCAATGAAGACCGTTTGCATTTCTCAGAGATTTATTTATGTTGGAAACCAAAGTAGGTCTCAAATACGACTAGAAAGTGATTTTTAAAAAGACACGCATCTGTAGGCAAATGCACGTTAATGGGGCTGAAATTTTGGGCTCAACAACCAATTAAGAAAGGAAACTACCAAAAGTCCTGCACCGCGGTTCAATCGAAATCCAAAAGTAGTGGCATGGTTCCCACATGAATGAGCACACAAACGACAGTTCCGGCGAACGGAAACACAACAAGAATACTAAGGAAATTTGCAGAAAGTTGGATGTGTTTTTAGCTCTAACAAAATACGTGAACACTTGGTTGTGTGTTGTTGTTGCAAAGCACTTGCCAGCTGCTTACAGGGAAGGATTTGTAATGTGTTAAACTGTTAATGACATATTAAGGGACCTGAACATTGGAAATCAAGGAACAGTCTGTTGAGCATTGATTCGTCCATGAACTGTCCACTTAATGCTGCAGAACGTTAGACATTTATTGTTGTAACGCCTCAACAACAGCCTGCTTGTAGTCATTTAACATAAAGCAGCAGTCTCCTCCCAATGAGGGTTGGGCATGGAGCAAAGAATAGGAACGTTACGGGAAGAAACAAAAATTTAATCTTATCTTTAGAAGATTGATTTTCGGACGACATTCGTGTCCGCAGGAGGCCCGCAAGTCGCGGTTTTTCTTCTCCGTTTTTGGTATTTGATTAGCACCCACCTGCACGCGAAGAGAACCTTTCCACCTAACAATCTTAACTCCTTTAAAGAGGGTTCCCTCTATAAATCCATTGGGTTTTCCGGTGTGAGAAATATCACACTAAAACCCATCACTTTCCTAGTTTTCTTTATTCCAACGGGTGAACTTCAAAAATCAATTTCTCATTCACCCGTTATCCGTTTGAGTGTACGAAATATCAAATTGTGGTCCTTTAAAAGGAGAATTTGAAACCACTTTGACCCGACCCAAATTGGAAGTGGACCCCACTCAAAATATTTTGCCCAAAATTGACCGTTTAATGCAAATTTTATCACATTTTCCAACAATCTCCCACATGAATGAAAATCGATTTTTGAGACTTAAAAAAGACACGAAGATAGAAGGACAAGTTGTGTTAACCGGATGATCCCTGCATACGGAGAGTTAGGTTTTATCTTTTGAACCTAAAGACATGTTTATTTACTGGCTGTCTAGTGGACTCGATGTCATTGAACTATACTGCCGTCGTGTAGATATTGACTTATCTTTACACAAGAACCTTCCAACTTTGTTCCGTTCTCATGGGTGTGCCCCGTCTTGTCCATGTGTTACCGTCCTGGTTCTGCAAGAGTTTTTAAAGAACTGAGCCTATACTGTTCTCCTTTGAAGCGGTCCTCTTCTCCGTCACATAGGTGATTCTTTCACGAGTATCTCACATACTCTTCCAATGTTATAAAGCAGATCAACATTTCAGAATCATTAAATCAAACATTTTTGCTAACCTCGTGCGGGAGTCACTATTTCAACGAGGAATGAATAGGAGTCCGGGACCCCCACAATGACCATCCTTCGTTTTACAATTTAGTTGTCCCTTTTGAACCTAGGACCAACTAGGTTGGGTATCCACTATAGAACTTTTCAATTTACGGGCTTTAGTCCCATTCTTCGTGACAACTTCTTCAACAATTCTCCATCCAATGCTTTGGTTAGCGAATCAACTATGTTATCCTTTGACTTCACATAGTCAACCGTGATAACACCCGTTATGAGGAGTTGGTGTTATGTCTACGACGAACGTGTCTAGACTTACCATTATACAAGTTGCTTTGTACCCTTCCAATTGCCGCTTGACAATCGCAATGTATGCATATTGGAGGGACATGCTTTTCCCAACTTGGAATATCCTCAAGAAAATGGCGTAGCCATTCAACCTTTTCAGTGCACTTATCCAAGGCTCTTAGCACAGACTCCATCGTGGATCTAGCAATTACCATTTGTTTTGAGGATTTCCATGACATGGCTGCACCTCCCACAGTGAAAACATATCCATTTGTGGACTTTGAGTTCTTAATGTCGGGGGAGGGGAGCATTGCTATATTGTGCACGAAACTCATTAAATAAGGCATAAAATAAAGCACTAACCTCGTTGTATTCCGTTTTCGGATCTATGGGGTTATCGTCATACATGGGAAATTCACCAAAAAAGACAAGATAATAGAAGTTGAAACAATCTTCCAAATTAGCTAGTCTAAAATGAGGATCGAGAATAAATGCAATACCATAAATATGCGAAATATGTGCATAATATTTTAAAAACTTTTCCTTCGTATAATCACAAAAATAACTCACGAAAACGGCATTCTCAAATTCTTTAAAAGCACCGGCGAGATCAACGGCTTCACGAATAAATTGGTTTGCGGTAGATTTATAAACATGACTAAAAGTTTCAGTTACATAAAAAAATCAAAACATTACAATTTTTTTCGCAAGTGTCGATCTCAGCCGAGTTTATAATATAGTTATCATGTTGTTTTAAAAAAGCAGGAAAATGTTCTTTATATCTAAGAACAACTTTAAGTAATTTATAAGTACTATTCCAATGAATACTCAAATTTTTAGGAAAAGCAACATATCTCACACCTCTTTCAGTCAAATAAGTTTACCATTTTAATCTAAGTTGACCATTACCTCAAATACGTCTAATCCCCCCTTGACCACCTCCATAGCATCTCCTAACGCTTTTAGACCGTCTTGCACACATAAATTTATAACATGGCATGCAAAACGTTGATGAAAAATCTACCCATCAAAGTATTGGCACCACACAATTCACGCAATCTAGGTATATCAGCAGTATTATTAGTAGCATTATCGAAACCAATAGCAAACACCTTATCAATCAAATTATACTTAATTAAAATACGCTCAATCAAAATATAAATATGTTCAGCGGTGTGACGATCATTAAATTCACGAAAAGCAAGAACACGTTTATGCATATTCCAATCCTCATCAATATAATGTGCAGTCAGACCCAAATAATATAAATGATGAAAATCATCCTCCCATATGTCAGAACAAAGAGTAACACGCCCATCAAAGTTTGCAAAAAAAAGTTTGTAACCTTTCCTTTTCTGCTTTATAAAGCCTTATAATTTCTTTTTTAACAGTTTTGCGACTATAACCTCTATATTGCGGATTTAAACTACCTTGTGCATAATCTCTTAAAGCAAGACTTTCAGAAAACATATAAGGCAAATTTTCTTCACAAATTAAGTTAGCCATACCAGTCAAATTTTGTGCATCATTGTATGAGAAATTACCAAAAGGTTGAGAATTCGCAAACCTCGATATTTGAGTTTGCTTCCCCGTTCCGCCGCCTAATTTTTCATACTCCACGGGGTGCTTTGCCTTAAGATGCCTTGCAGCGGATCCGTATCCGTCGGAGGTCCACAAGCTATAATTGTTGTTGCACCACTTGCAAGTTGCGTGCCAATACCCGGTTTGTGGGTCCTTCCACTTATCAAAATTATTTTTCATTAGTTCAGATTTACTTTTTTTTATTACCAGTGGCGGTTTGGGATGATGCAGGCTCGTCGGCGTCGTGGCTGCCCGCACCCTCCTCCTCGGCCGTCTCCGGTTCCATTTCCTCCGCATCTTCATCCTCAAGCTCCTCTTCGTCAATGGTCGTCGGGATTTGTTGTTGTTGTAGAAAGCGGTTATTATGTCGGACCAATTCTTGTTGTAGTTGTTCTTCGGACATCACATCTCCATCTCTCCTTTGGTAACCCGTTTAAAAATCATCTCGGCTTTGAGATGAAGAGCCGGCAAGTTCTTTACCTTTGCGGGATTTCTTCCCCCCAATCTCGTTCCTTCGATTGCGCTCGAGGTTACCCAAATCAACCGAATATCTACCACCTTCCATCTTAAAAATGTAACAAATATTAATTTGCAACAAATATAATAATGAATACAAAAGTAATGCAACTAATTAAAACTATTTTAATTAATACTTCAAACTAATTTAGTGCAAACTACTTTAATAAAATGTGAAGTACTTTAATTAAGTAGAGAATTAAAGTGTGACACTAAAATACAAATTAAAATTTGAACCCGAATTAAAATGTTAAGTACTTTAATTAAACGATTGAACTACTATTTTTTTCGTTCAAATATAAATTGAAACTATTATAATGTGACTTTAAGTATAATGACAATCAACTAGTTTTTTGAAGTAGAGTTGTTTTAGCAATTAATGGGAATATTAATTAACTAATTAACTAGTATAATAAAAAATGTAACAAGAATACTAATTAACTAGTATAATGAAAAATGTAACAATTAGTGGGAATACTAATTAACTAATCAAGTATTCAAGTATTGTTAATAAAAATGTAAGTAATAAGACAAATGTATGAATGTGACTTTAAGTATAGTGACAATTAACTAGTTTTTTGAAGTAGTGTTCTTTTAGCAATTAATGTGAATACTAATTAACTAATTAACTAGTATAATGAAAAATGTAACAAGAATACTAATTAACTAGTATAATGAAAAATGTAACAATTAGTGAGAATACTAATTAACTAATCAAGTAATGTTAATAAAAATGCAAGTAATAAGACAAATGTATGAATGTGTATACTAATTAATGGGAGTAAATGAGTAATAGAATGATTTTAAGTGATATTAATTAAAGTGTAACTAATATATAATATAATATTTATATAATATAATATTTATAGTATATAATATATAAGTATACTACTATAAGATGAGTAATACACTTATATTTTATACTTTAATATATAAACTATATATTAAGTAGATGTAGAATGTATGTATTAAGTAGATATAAGTAGATAATTAATGTACAAAGGTGCAAAATACGGATTTCTTTCATCACCGTTCAATTAAAAATTAGGGTTCTTCGTCATGCTTCTCAAGCTATCTTCCTCGTCTATCTTCCTGGTCTGGTCATCTGCGAGAAAGTTCAGAGATTGAACTCATGGTGGTTGAAGGAGACCGTATGCATCTAGAAGTTCAGAGTTTTGGGATTTGAATAGAGCGAAAATAAAGAGCGACCCTCTTCAGAAAGCTGAGGTAAGTGAACTTAATGATTTTTTTAGTTACAACTGATTCATAATGGTAATATTTGAGTTTGTAATACCTTGAATTGTACCTCCTGAGTAAAACCTCGTTGGTAGTTGAATTCGTAATACCTTAAATTTAGGGTTAAGTATGAAGTTGTTGTCCTTGTTTTGTATTATTTTATGTTTAAATAAAAATGCCTTAACATTTTGAATTGTAATATTTATTTTCAGAATGTATGAAGTAGCAGATTTGAGAATTCATCATGGCGGAAATTTCCAAAAAAAACAACTCAACTTTCCTATGTCAATGGTGAATGGGTACTATTAGGTTGGACCCGGATTTGATTTCATTTCCTCATCTCATGAAGTTTATCACTCAGGA